GAACATCAGACAAAAGGCAACTGAACAAAGACACTGCTCAGAGGACAGAGGCTTTCTCTGTTCTGCAGTGGTGTCAGTAACAACAGCCAGTCACACTCTTGCTCGACTACACCAGATATTTATAAATGGATGCATCAAGTAGGTGCACTACACACCCACTACACTCAGCCTTTTCTAACAAGATAGTAGATTATGAAAGCTAAGAACAAAATACACTTGCACCTTATATCATTAGCAGACCAGATTCCTCTCTTCTACACAAATGAGACCAAGGATAGTTGGAGGAGAAATAGAAGAAATCAAAACAAAAGAAAGGAAGACCACAGTAGAATTTATTATCTTTAATGTCTGTTTCTAGCACCTCTCCTACTTTTGGCTCAGGGAAATCTAAAACCATGAAATTCTAGAAACTAAACTAAGAAAACATACTTTCCCAGTTTTTAGTTTTCTTTCTAGGTAGTAGCAATTGGCCACTGTTTCTCTTTTTGACTTATCTGCTGTCAGCCATATGGCTCTTCATCTTCCTAAAAAGCAGTAGAGCCAGGGTTTCAGATCAAATACAACTCTGAATTCTGCCTTGCTGTCCCAGGCTCCATCAGTGTACTCAGCTTTGTGCCACTGGTGGTGGCAAACTGCAGGTGACAGTGGATGATCCTGGCTTTTTGATACCCATGGCTCCCCAGGAGATTAGCCAGGCACAATGGAATGTTTGCTTTGCAGACAAAGCAAGGTATCTATCCCATGCAGCAGTGTAGTCTCACTAACTCACAGGAAGAGCTGCCCTCAATTTTTACCTTAATTTCTTACCTGGCCTCTCACAGACACATTAAGACTTATTCACAATAGAACCACTAACACTTTTTAAAGGAGCTTAAAGACAAGGCACAAGGCTAAACAGACCTCTGACCTGATCAAGGAGAGCTGTTCTTAAGATGGAACACTCTGTACTGAAAGGCACAGGAAAGCTAACCAGCTGGACAGTGGCCTGCAGAGCCTTACCCCTCTCATGCCTACGTAGTTGTGCTGCTCGTATCGATCCCCTGGCTTTTGGAAAGGAAATGTGCCATCATATCCACTCAGGTAGCCAGCAAGTCCAATCAGCATCTGAAGAGAAAACGTGAAAAAAAATGGTCAGGAAAATCACACGGGAGGAAAAAGTATCCAGGCTAGCAGCAGGTAAGATTTCTATAGAAGCCACATTGACCCAGAGGACAAATAATTCAGACACATCATCCAAAAGAGAGTTTATTTACAAAAAACATATATGTACATACTGCCCTTCGTCTAAAGGCAAAATCAGAATTATTTTTGCAACAGACTATAAGGATGACTGCAAGTTCAAGAAAAATAGCAGGTGTGGAATTGAGCACAGAGAATTCTGTAGAGTCTCCCATAGCTCCCTACTGCTTTAGCTTCAGGAGACTCAGTCTGAAAGACAACCTTAACAAGGATGCACCTTCATCCACACTACACACTGTTGCTAAAACAAGTTCATTTACAGAACAGGAAATCAATGCTCCCAGGGTCATTTGTGGCAGGCATTTCATTTGCTCACAAGTTATCAGGAACTGTTTGCTTCCTTTAAAATGTAGCCTTCTATTACATATGCCCTGCAAGTGTCACATTGATTTTTTCATGTCAAGCCTTTCAAAAACCCAACATGCAATACTGTTTGGTTTTCTTATATTTGAAGCATTTTTTTGTGAAGACAAAAAGTTGTAAGTTGAGGCTCTGGACACAGAATGCAAATTGCTGTGGTGTCAACAACAGTTAGGAAGGGCTTTGTTGTTCACCACATCCTTTGGCCAGAAGGTAGAGGCAGAATTTTACTGGCCCACTCCTGTGGCTTCTGAAACAGGCAACAGAAAAGCGGTTTACCTTCCCCAAAGGGGGATGGACATCAAAGAAGAAGGTCCGATTAATGTAGTAACTTCCCATCTTCCCAAAATGAGTTTCATCCCAACTGGAAAAACACACCAACAAAACACAAACCACAATAACCAATCTGCTACAATGCTGAAGAGAGTTAAAAAAAATATCCAGGAAGGTCTTTTTATTTATGCTTTTTATAGTATAGAGAGTTACTGTCATAACCCTCTATACGAGTATAGAAGGTTATGTGTAGTATACTATATGTCTCATTCCATATGATACAATGCATTATACTCAGTGGGAAATCATGGAGAGCACTGCAGCCAGTGTAGGAAAGGTCCTTTTTTAAAAGAGTTTTATATTATCATTGCAAAACCTCTGGTTTGCCAGATTCCAAATTGACCTCAGCGAGGTTAAAAAGTCGGCCTGCTGCACAAAGACCCCCAAAACTCGCTCCCCGGGAGCCGGTGCCCTCCCTGCAGCACGTCCCGAGAGCAGCCGAGCCGAGCCGAGCCGAGCCGAGCCGAGCCGAGCCGGGCCGGGCCGGGCTGGGAGCGCAGCTCTTCTTGCGGCCCTCACTGCCGTGTCCCCACCTGCGGGATAAACAGGGATCCCTCCCACGCCGGGGCGGGGAAGGGGCGCGGGCCGGGAGCGGACACGCACCCACCGCACCCCGGGCCCGGGCAGCGCCCGGCCGGAGAGGCGCACGCCCCGCCCCGGCCCGTACCATACGTGCGGCGGCTCCCGCAGGCGGTGGAAGCGGGAGGCGAAGCTGAGCAGGGCGACGAGGGCCAGGGCGGCCGCGATGAGCGCCGCCGCCGCCGCCAAGGTACGCCAGGGCAGGGTGCGCGGTGCCGGCTCCGCGCTCCCCGCGCGGGGCGGGAGGGGAGCGGGGCTTGGGGCGGCGGCTCTCCGCCTTCGGCCTGCGCGGGCCTCGCTCGGCTTGTGGTGCCCCGGCACCCCGGGAAGGCCGGGATGGCGGGTCCCTCCATCCGCGCCCCGCTGCCCCGGCCTGCACCCGTGTCTCTGCCGCAGTGGAAAGCAAGGAATTTAACCCCGTGCTAAATAAAATGCTTCAGTGTGCTAATGCTTTTAGCGGGGCTGCTTGCTTACCATATTTTATTCGCGTGCACTGTTCACAGCAAGTCCTGCTGAAGAGATACTGAGAATTTAGGAGCAAATCTGTCCGTTCTGCTGTCCATTTGAACCCAGCAGAGTACAGCTGTGCCCTCCAGGCACCGAGGTGTCCCTTACACCAGCCCCAAGGAGCCGTGTCTGTGTGCAGGCTGCTGGGCTTGCTGGTCTCAGGAAAGGTGAGAGATTTGGCCTTTCCAAGTGCATCCCGTATATCACCTGGAAAAAGGTGGCATCTGGAGGAGACCGTACTACTCTGAAGAAGACAGAACACCTGAGAGGTCAACATACAAACTTTGGGGTGTTTCTTCTGTCTTTAACAACAGGGAAGTGCCTTACCCAAATTTTTACTCTGGAATGGTATTTAAGCCCAAGCTTTCCTCACAGATTGCCAGAAATGAAAACAGACTCTCAGTAAACATAAAGCAAATCCTGTCCTCCTGCTATCATCCCAGCTCCAACCAGGCTAAACTACAGGTTTTGGGGATTTTTCCCCACAGGGTTGTAAATGCAGGAAATTCTTTCCTGAGATTCCCTGGACCATACTCAGCATTTCCTCTGAGGAAGACACAGTGTCACTCTGCGATGTGTCCACTAAGGACAAAGCATTTCTGTTTTCTCTAGTCTTTACTTAGCTGATTATTTTTGCCTGTGATCTGCCCTGCTGCTAGGAGCAAAACAGCATAAACTCAGGAGATCTCTCCATGCCCCAGCCTCTGGAGACAGTTCCCAGCTAAACAATGGGTTGGTTTCCATGGGTTTTTTTTCTTGAAATACCCACCAGGGCCTTGAAATTATAGAGCAAGGCAATTAGCATAGCACAGTTTATTCCAAATTATAGCATAGGCTGTAAAACCAAAAAAGAACTGCAGAGAGGATCAGGAGAAATGTCTCTGCTGGCTGAGAGGCCAGAGTCCAAAATAGATGTAGTGAAGGACATGAATTTCTGAGCCAAAAAATCATTAGCTAGTTCCTCAGGAAAAGCAAGTAAAATTAGTATCTCATGACTGCTCTATTTTCTCTTTTGAAGCTATAGTTTCTGTTTCTTTCCCTGAAACTCATCAGGCTAGATATTTGAAAAGTGAACATAGCTGATATTTCTAATGCCCAGATCCCAGGAGAATTTAAGAAAATAATTAAATACTTTATCCACTGAAGTGTTACCAGTACTTTCCATCTCTTTCCTCCTCACTTATAAATCTGAGTAATTTAGTCAAAGACATACCTCATTTGAAGTTATTTGAGTCAATCTAAACTGTAAGAGAAGCATGAAGTTTACAAAGAGGACTGGAGCACAGAGATCACCAGTGTCTCTGGTTTTCTGTTGACAGACTATAATTGAGCATATCCCTGTTTTCTTTTGTCTAGCTGCTAAGTTTCTGGAAAAGTTTTTGTGCATTTTGGGAGGGCAGAGACACAGAGAGAGCCATGGATCTGTGTAAGCAAGGAGAGACATGATTACAGGTTTATTTAGAGACATACATGGGTACCAATTTCCTGTGTGGAAAGAAAAGGCTCTGACACAAAAAAAAAAAAAAGCACAATCTTTTATTTTACACTGAGTTGATCTGAGAGCAGAGTAGCAGCTTCTCCCATCTCTGCAATGTAGAAAATCCCCTGTACTGGCCAATCCTGGTGGGAGGGGAGCTTCAGGAGCACACTGTGGAATGTCCCTGCAAAGGCAGCCCATTCCCAGAGCTAGCAGTCATTCCCTAGTGAAGCAGAAATTCTGCATGCAGCTTTAGTTTTCTTTTTTTTGTTCTCCAGGGTTAGATTTCTGCATTGGCAACTGGTGACAGCCTGGGAGGCTCTCCTTATTTGTTTCTGGATGAAAAGTTATGAAAATAAGAATGGTTCCCAAATGTGCTTCCAAGTTTAAATCTGGTTAATAGTTTTGATATCAGGGCTGGGAGAGGGTGACCGCAGTGACTCAGGATTGAATCTGACTGGCTGGTTTTTGTGTCCTGGGCACAGACTGGGGGGCAAAGTCCTTTCCTCATTGGTTTTAGGAGAGAAGCCTTTTCCCATTCCAGCTGAGTTAAAAGGGAAAACACAGAAGTTGGTTTTATTTCTGGAGACAACTGCACACACTTACCATGGCATCTGAAAAGGTGAGAGTTTGGACAGGGTGGAAGCATCTGGGAAGGCTGCCTTAGCATTATAGTTCAGGTAGAGATGAATTGTCTGTCTTTATGGCTTTCATCTCAAACAGCAGAAGCTCTTCTTGTTTGGAAAGAAATCTGGCTTTTTCCCTGAATGGCTGGAAAAGCTATTTCATACCATGGAAATACCCAAGTGCTTGGCACAATCTGTATAGAAATTGTTTCAGAAATCTAAGATGGGATAGAAGTTAGCAATATTGGATAGGGACAAAGAGGGAAGCTTTATAGGGACCTAATTTCAAGGTCATTTGTGCATTGCTGGAAACATCAGGTGCAACTGGATAATGAGAAGGCTGTTATGAGAGTGATGCTACCTGTATGCCCAAATCAGGAACAGTTACTTTCAGAAAGGAGCCTTCTCTCCTCCAAACATCACTCTCCCCTGTCTTAGAGTTCCTGAAATATCTTCTGCTCATGCATTCTTTTCCTTACATCCAATACTCTGGTGCTCCCAGCATATAACCCTTGTATCTTTCTCTTCCCAGCCAATACTCTACAGCTATTTCCGAAGTTCCTGTTCTTGGAGAGTGCGAATCGGTAAGATTCAATGTTCATCTCTCTTTTTTGTCTCAGTATTGCAATATCCTCCCCTTCACTAACCCAATTAATCAATCACTTATTAACAGAGAAGTCAGCAAACATGAGCCTGGAACAGTGAGGCATCTCCCTGTGGGGAGGGAGGGAAAGACAGCAGCTTACCTGGAGCAGGTGGCATAGAGGGGAACAGATAAGAGGGCTTCACGATACTACCTCAGACTCTGTCCTGCCCAGGTCTTGAGACCTAAAAAGGGCTGGGAATGGTCCCCACTTGTACTGAGACAGAAAGGTTTCAAAGGTGAGCACATGGTCCTGCCATCTATAAGCTGAATCAGGAGGGGCTGTGCTGCAAAGAGTTGCAAAGCTTATTTTGAAAAATGCAGTGGTTTTGCTAGGGCTGGTCTTTAGTACTTTGGTCCTTCATTTGCCAGAGCACTGTCTTCTCAGTGGACTCAGGCCACCTCCTTGAGGGATAGGGGTTTTTTCCAAATGTAGATACTAACATTTTCCTGAGCCCATTACCAATGAAACTGGTTCCAGTGTAGCTGCCTGAAGCTGTACACTCTGCTCTCCCTAGCACTGGCTCTGAAAGGAATTTCCTATGACTTGGTCCCAGTGAACCTCATTAAGGATGGAGGACAGCAGGTAAGGATAAAAATACCACTGCTCTCTCCAGGGTACTGAACTTAGGGGTCATTAGGAGACTTAAGATTAGCACTAGAAAGTTCATAGGCAAAGTTACCGAATTCCTCACCACTTCTTTGTAATGAATAGTTGCTTTCAGCCAGTATTCCCTGGCATGTGAGACAGGAGGAGAATATGACTGCAGGAGACTGGAGGCTTTTTCCTCTCTCAAACATTTGTGACTGAATCCATAAGGCTGAAGATCTTTTTGCTTACCATGTCACAAAAGAATATATCAGACTTCAGAGAAGCTGCCGTGCACTTTAAACTGACTCAACCTCATTCAATTAACAATAGAAACTGCATGGAGGCAGGGATGGGGGTTGTCCAAAAGTTGCTAAATTACATTGTAGGGGGCTGCACAAGGGCCTGCAAAAGGAAGAGGTGGGTTGCCAAAAGAGATCTTCACTGAGGCCTTACTTGGCGGTCCATAGGAGAGAGTTGTGCACCTCATGGTACCACTGGCTCAATGGGGCTGGTATGGGCTGAGGCAGAGCTGGACAACTGGGACAGTAATGGTGGCACTGATGCAGTACCACTGGGCATTGCAGTGGTGCTTTATCAAGAGATAAGGCAGTCTGGGCCAGGATGCAGTGATCCCTGAGCCTCAGTCAGAGCTTGCTGTAGGGTAATAGTACAGCATCATTTACTGCAAAGATTAGTATTAAGCTAGAAAGAAAAAAGGGGAAGGAAAAAAATTTGGTAACTGGGTTCTGGGAGAAGAAAACAAGGAAGAAGAATTTCTTATTGCTGTAGAGTAATGCCAGGTTTGTTTCCACAGTTTTCTGCTGAATTCAAGGCACTGAATCCAATGCAGCAAGTCCCAGCCTTGAAAATTGATGGCATCACCCTTTCTCAGTCAGTGAGTTACCAGCCACAGTTACCCTGTTAACAGTTACCCTGTTAACATTTTACTCCAGCCTGCTGCCCAATCTGGATGGGATGGCTTTGTCTCATCTTTTCCCCCAGAACTCTCACCTATACATTGGAAAAGAGGGGCATTTATGATCCCACTTGGGAACAGAAATAGTACATATTCCCTGATGGGAAACTATTGTCAAGGATTTAAGTTCAATTCTGCTTTGGTTCATAACTCCACCTTTCACTAAGCAGTTTGTAGTCTGACATTGATGGCTGTTCTATGGTTTGCCTGAAATTACAGCTAGAAAAAATGACAGCTCAGAGGGGTTATTCTGTTCTTTAGGTTGGTGACAAACTGCATTCAAAAGCTGTTGTATTCTCTTGGATCAGCTGCCCTTTCCCAGGTGTCCAGGATGTGAAGTTTTCATTGGTTCTCCAATAACCTCCCATTATCTCTTTGTTCATTACAGCTAGCTATAATTAATTACCTAGAAGAGACACATCCTCACCCCAGGCTCCTGCCCCAGGATCCAAAGAAGAGAGCCCAAGTCAGAATGATCGCTGATCACATTGTCTCTGGCATTCAGCCACTCCAGGTACTGCCATGTCAGATCCATGCAAATGAGAAAATCAGACAGGATTTCTGTCTCTGAAATTCTCAGTCTGCTTAAATTGTTGCCAGCCAGCTGAGTGGCAGAACTTCAGATTGGTGTGCTAGCAGATAAAATCTGCTTAACCTCTGCCTAGAGGCACCAATACAGTATTTCCAACACAGCAAATCCTATAGCATCCCAGAATTCTTTCTAGAAAGAGCTGAATCCATATGGTTTTATTGCTGAGTCTAGGACATTTCAGGAAGAAGAGAATTGAGCAGCTGAAAGGGAAGAGGCAAAGGGATACCCTGGCAACTGTTACAGAAGGGTAGTGCCAAGAGAAGCATACAGCAGGGTGCATGATTTGGTGCAGGTGAGGTCAGGGCTGATCCAACCAAGGGAACTCAGGCCAGGGGTTCAGCCTTGGCAACTCCTCATCTCCCCTCTCCTCCACTGGATGACACAGTGGGCAAGATCCAGCCAGCAGTAGTTACCTAACCTAGAGATTGCTTTGCCTTCACAGAACCTGAGTGTCCTGAAACAAATGGGGGAGAAAAAAATGGAATGGGCTCAGAACTGTATCACATCTGGCTTTCAAGGTACATCCCACATCCAAAATGATCAGTATTTTGGCTGACCTTACAAAATGCTGCACCACTGGTATTCTACTTGCCTTTTTCAAATAGAACCACAGATACTCCTAGACTGGTGTGCTGGGGTCCTGCCTTGCTGGCAGAGACAGTGCTTTTCCTGCCAGAGTCTCCTGTCCAGGACTGGTAGCTCCCCAGGATCCCAGAGGAAAGATGTGCACAGAACACTTCCACTGCTGCACATGGAAGAGGGGAAGCCTGGTGCCATCCTGCACACACTGCAGTAGTTGATTCATTCTGAAGCACCAGGGCTCATAGCACTTCTAAGGTTCTTCATATATATAGATATGCTTTTGTAATTGGACACCTAATAGCAAACTCCCACAGAGTCCAGCAAGTAGCAGAGTATTTCTTTGCCTTTTTGAGAAAAATAAAGTGCTTTTGGTTCCCTCAAAATCCTTTCCCCCAAGTGCTGCAATGACAGGCCCATCTTCACTTCCTGGCAGACCCAAACTGACTGAACCTTTGCATTTTCCCCCTCCCCAATCACGTGTTTCTACATTGTCCTTGTAGTATTTCAAGTGCATTGTCTAAAGCATCTGAAATCACCCTGAGTCCAAAAAAGCTAAAGGACCCTAAAGACTCCCATAACTATAGTAAGATTTCTGTTCCTTCTAGTTTCTGTCCCAAAATGCTCCTTTTTCATACTCTGTTCAGGGTTAAGATGCCCTTGTACATAATTCCCACTCTAGAAAGTATTTGGTGTCCCTTTCAATTGACTTTGCAATGCCTCATTCCCGTGTACCACCTCTCTTGACAGCACTGGAGCAGATTCTGCAGCACACTGCTGGACGCTACTGTGTGGGGGATGAAGTAAGTATCTGAGAGAGCCCTGTGTGCTATTGCAGGACTGAAAACCCCAGAATCTTCCTCTAAAACAGGAAAGAAAATTAGTTGAGGAGACAAGAGCACAACCCCATCCAGTGCCTAGAATTACATGCAGTGCCTTCACCATAACAAAAACCAGCTGCATGGATCCTACTTGGGCCGTTACTGACTGGCAGAGAGTTATGGAGATGTTTACTTGTCCCTGCCTATAACCTGCTGATGGCCAGATTATGCAGCAGTATCTAGGATCTGGCTGGTACTACAGAATATGGAAAAAGATGATCTATCATTTCATCTTTATGTGATTTGGACCTTAACATGTCCTGTCATACAGGCAAAGCTTGGCTCAAAAAACATGGGTTCTGTTCTATGGAACTTTTAACCAACTTTATTTTTCTCCTCTGATCATCCAATTTTAATATGGACAGATTTCACAGAGCTCACATTCTGTTCTGACCCTTACCAAACTAGAAGCAGCTCAGGCCTTTTCCATTTATTAGTTCTGCTGCCAGGAAAAAGATCTTTCCTATAAAAGCCTTAGAAAAAAGGAAGGTTCCATTATTCTGGGATGCAGAGGATTGTCTAGTAGCAGCCTTATGGAGCCCTACTTACAAGATCTAACGTTGGAGAATAGCATGTGCTCTGAGAGGCACCCAGGGCTTTGTGACCTGGGGAGCAGGGTGGGAGCAGCTGCCTCTGTCTGTGCAGACAGGCAACCAGCAGCACTGCCATTAAGTCTTCCTTTCAGATTGCAAGTCTCTGAGCCTGTGTACAGAGGCCCTATCACATATCAGGTCTTGACATTGGCAGGACCTGCTTGATACTCCTGCAGTGCAAACAAGCCAAATTTACTTAACTTTTTCCAGCCATGCAAACACCCCTCTCCCTCCATCACCTCCCTCTGCAGCTTGCCAGCAGACATGTTTGCTCAGAGGCAGTTGCCATAGAAACACAGTGTCCTTAAGGTCATAGTGATCAGCTGGTAAATATAAAGCTCCCTAAAAGCTTATGGCTTCTACTAGTAACTGTAATGAAGTTTTTTCTTATACTGTTGCTGTAGTATTTTAATGCTGAATTAAATAATTAGATCATCATAACAATTCCTCTGTACTGGCTGATAAAATTTCTGTCCTGGTCTCAAAGCCTGCCACCACTGGGAAGTGTGAGGGACAGGCTCTGAGTTATTCTAACCACTTTTCTCTGCTATATTTGCAGGTTTCCATGGCTGATCTGTGTTTAGTGCCTCAAGTTGCCAATGCTGAAAGGTAATTAAGGCCAAGTTTGAGATATTCTTCAACACACCTACTTATGCTGGGTTGTTAGAGCTTACCTTCTGCTGCTCCTTATGCCTGTTAGAAAGTATCCCTCCTGCCTGCCCTATCCACTTATGTTTCTTCTCTCCATGAGTCTTCCCATTTCATAAATGCTGTCTCTTTTGGAAGTAATGAATTGTGGTCTCCTCTTACACGCCCCTGGGGAAACCTGATCTATGACCTTAGAAAAGCTGAGGTTGCCCACACTCCATGTTCTCTGTCCCTGTTTGCTTTATTCTGACACTGCACACAGGAGGAAAGAGCAATCACACTTTATTTAAAGCCTTAAACCCATACAAGTAGTGGCTGCATGATTCCCAGAAAAAGCAGTCTTGTTACCTTCTGCTGCACATTACGTAAAAATCTGGTGAAAATCACACAATCACAGAATCATTGGGGTTGGAAGGGAATTCTGGAGGTCACCCAATCAAATTTCCCTGCTAGAGGAAGTGGCATAGGATTGCATCCAGGGTTTTGAGTATCTCTAGAGAAGGAGACTTTACAACCTCTCCAGGCACTGATTAATCTCTCTAGAATTTGTTTGTAAACCTACAGGGATGAACCTTTTCTGGTAGTGTAAATGCCTGTGAGATCCTCCCATACTAGGCAGGCCTATCACACTGCTCTGCACTTCTGCTCACTGCTGCACTGGCTCCCCAACTCGTAGTACTTCACAGATTCTTTTCCTTTTACAGATTCAAAGTGGACATGGGTCCATATCCCACAATAACCAGAATAAATAAAGCTCTCTTGGAGTTAGAGGCCTTCAAAATAAGCCACCCTTCCCGGCAGCCAGATACTCCTGCAGAGCTGCGAGCATGAAGCCCTTGTACTCACTAAATCTAGAAAGCTGCCATGATAAAGAAGACAACACCTACAGGATGAGTAGGACTTCAGTACCAGTAGGAAACCCCAGTACTATTGCTTCCCTTTCATCTGGATGGGAAGGACAGAGGACCTGGAAATAGTGTGGATGACTTACAGGAGCTATGCCTGTGCTGGAATACCTGCAGCTACTAGTTTTTTCTATGCAGTCTATCTCTATGAAGCAGATTAAAGCAGAAGTATCCATAATGATCAGAAGTTCCCTCTGTATGGCTTTGGGTTGGGGAACGTGGCCACAAACAACTGTCAGGCATTGAGTCATTTCTGTATTCCCCACAGGGGCTACTTCATTCTACCATCTACAGAAAGATCATCAGGAAATCAGTGTACACAGTGTGCTTATCCTTGGAGCTGCCTCAGAGTCACAGCACAGTCATCAGTTCCATGGATATAAACAATCAGATCTAGTCTCTGATGGAATATAGCTAAGCCATTGTTGGGGTCTTGAAAGAGTCAAGTTGGCAACTCTGTCACCCCTTGCAATAACAAGAGCAGTCACACAGAACTTATAAAAGGTCTGCCTAGAGCAAAGCTAGGTGATGGTGCCTTAAGACAGCAAGGCACAATCAGCTCTCTCCCCTACAATGAAAATTATGTTCTTATTTTTCCCATCCTCAGATACTGCTTTAGGTGGTTTCCTAGCCTTCAGCTGCAGACTGTTTCCCAAGGAAATCCCACCCCAGATTCCCTCCAAACCAGAATCATGTCTGTACTTTTTCTGTAAAATAGCAGCAGTAAATACCATTCCACTCATCCCAAATGAAACCAAACACCTAAATCACCTAACAAAGCTGAAAGCACCCTGGGAATTCCAGCTAAAAACCTGTAGGGCAAGAAAGGAACCCATAACCTTTGTCTGTGTTCTTGTGCAGAGTCACCTCAGATCCCACTGAATGTTTTGGCACCTGAGCCCAGATACTGTATATCAGGTACCCTAGGAAAACAATACCTATGGCCTTCAAACTTACAAACCCACAGTCTCTTTTACCAAGGTGCCATTCACCTACATACAGATACCTGGACTACCATGCTGCTTGGACTCATTTATTGCCATCCATATCTGTATTTAGATGAAGAGCCTTGCTGTTCAGGCTCATCCTGAGAATTGTGCATTATCCTAGGTCCAGCTGGATCTTGAGTGTGCTGTTATAAAAGGTCCCAGCACAGTTGGAGCCCCCAAAGACCAACACTGTGTGCAGCTTCTGCTCCTCTTTGTTCTCCTTGTCCATATCCATCAAATGGGTGGGAGTCAGGTCAAGCAATGTGTGGCCAGCTCGGGGAAGAGAGCAGAGGTCGTGGTGGATCACTGTGCTCCATGAAAGGGTATCTGAAGTGGAAAGGGGATACCAATACTGACAAGCCCATTCCTAGTGCAAGGGATGAGACAAATGGACTAGACTAGGTGTTCAAAAACACCACTGCAGCCCCAGAGTCACCTTCAGCTATCAAAACAGGGCGGGAGTGTCACTCACCTAGGTGGAAGACAAAGGCATCATGCAAGGCTCCTCTGGCATTGCAGCCTCCACTGATCAGAACCTTCTGGTCTGACACAGCCATAGCTGCATGAAAACTGTGACCAAAGCAAAGTCAAAAGGTGACTACAACAAAACCTGCTGGGATGGCCTCAGTCAGCAATGGGCAGGGATTGTCAGACTTCATCAGGAGGGGGCTTAAGCTGCAGGAAGACTTGATCAGGATTGGGGGCTTACACTGCAGGAAGAAAGTTGGCTTCTGCTTCTCTCTGCCCTGAGAGAAAAGCAGGAGAGAGAAGCCTTGCAGAATAACCCTAAAAAGAGATGTTTGCCTCTGCAGGTCAGGCCTGAAGAGCAATGTCAGAAAGAGTTAACAAAACTCCTATGCTGTGCTCTGTGGGGTGAGATAGCAGGCTAGCTGGGCTCTGCATTGATTTAGATCATCGTTCTAGTGAGCAATTCTGTCCCTTTAGGAACAGCATAGTCCTGGTACAGGAGTTTCTTGCTCTGTGTGGCACAGCACCTCTCCAGGCACTGTGAAGAGCAAACAGCAGGCCATACAGTTTACTAGCACACAGCAGAAAATTTACCCTAGCCTGAAAGACAGATTTCCAGGGAGACTAAGGACTATCCCCCCACACCATCCAGGCACCAACAAGGACAGCACAGGAACTCCTAGCCCCACAGTGGAGAGAAGATCCACTGTATTTTGACTAGTGGAACAGAGATATACAGCTGGGTCTGATCACAAGCACTGTTTAAACCTGGCTTCAAAGAGAAATGACAGAAGATAGCTGGGTCTGCAATAGAATCTTACCAACGTGCAGAAGGCTGTCCTGCCAGGAGGGGGACTGACGTGTACTCCATGAAACCTGACAGACAGAGAAAAGGCAGGTGAAATGTCCAAAAACCTCAGCCTCATAACTAGACAAAAACTTAAGATGCTCTGCCACATCAACAATGCCTCACCCTTCTCTCTTACCCAACTTCTTCCAAAAAAGCCATTGTTTTTTCTTCATTCCCTCCCTTATTGCCCCAGAAAGTTGTTTGGTTTTTTTTTTACCCCAGAGTTTTTCATCTCCATTGCCTAATCAAGAGTTTGTATAATGCTATTACTATTTTCCCATTGAGCACACCTCACTCCCAAGTCCCTGTGTTGGAACAGACCTTCCCAAGGCACAGACTTTCTTACCCAGATCCAGAATGTGCATGTCACTGAAGTAGACAGAAGTCCTCTGACCCCCAAAAATCACCAGCTTGTTTTTCAATAGAGTAGCTGAATGCCTGGGCAGAGAGCAAGCAAATTAATAAAACATCTTCAGCAAGTTCCCAAAACTTCCATTTTAGCCTTGGCCTCTTCTCCTGGGCTGCCATAGCTTTAGTCTACACCTGGGGCAAAATCCCATCAGGATTCACAACAGGAAGTACTGAGAATTCCATTGCTCTAAACACAGCCCTATCTTAAGGAGTACATAGTGGAAAACAATCACTTAATATTTAAGAAATCACACTAGTGTGGGAGGGAAGATAAGCAGAGGTTTCCTGCACTATTTTGGATAGTTGGAATTAAAGCACTCTCACCCAAGCCTAGGCAGAGGCTTCTCCCCTTCTGAAATGGGCTGATACCAAATTTCATGCTCTGGATTGAAGACATAGAGCACATTGCTGCAGGGTGCAACTGCCAGCGATGCCTTTCTGGGGAAAGTTCCTCCAAAAACAAAGAGCTCCTTCTGGTAGATAGTTGCACTGTGGTAGGTGAGCGCTGGTATCCTCCCTTTAGCCTAGAAAGATTTCAATATTTATTTGTTACAAGAAGTGCATTATTTGCTGCGTGACCCATAGGAAAGGGGCCCACATCATACAATGAGTTTGACAAGTCTCAATTTTCACTTTATTGGCTCCCCAGCCAGATCTTTGCTGCACAGGCAGACAGTACATTCTTTGCATGCTCTACACCACCAGAATGTTCTGATAAGAAAAGGAAGTCAGCCTCCCACACCTTCCTCAGAAGATGTCAGGGAACAGAAAGATCTCGTGCAGGCTTACTCTGTAAAAGCCATTTTGTGCTTTACCAGGAAAGAGACAGATAGTCCCATGTGACAAGGGCTCAGAATTCTGCTGTACTCAGGGCAGTTCCTGATTTGAGAAGGCTGGCTCTTCACCTCAGCATCTGGTGCTGCTCTCAACACCACCATATAAAATGAGAGGCCATTTCCCTTGGCTGCTTGTACAGTACCTCCCACCACTGAGCTTGATCAGGCACAGCCCTCTGCAGCAACCATTTTTTGCCATTGCTTCATTCATTATAGGCACAGCTCCTGGTTTCTATTCAGCACGTGGCTTTTCAACACAGCCTCTTAATACCTGTCAAACCCAAGTATGCATCTCAGACAACCTGTACCAACAGTGGACCAAGACTGGACTAAGGACATGGGCTGTCACATTCAAGCAGAACCTGCCACTCCTCCTGCACTTTTGTCTTGGAAGAGAGGCAGTACTCACAGCCACAAGGAGCCATTCCCAGGTGACTGTGTCCAGAATGTAGATGCTGCTGTAGTCTTTGTCCTCCCTTATGCCCCCAAAGATGTAGATACGCTTGGTGTCAGGGTCGTAGGTAGCTGTGTGACCATGCAAGCATGATGGCATGGCATTTTGTACCTGGAAACCCACTGGAAGCCATAAATCACTGTCTGTGGGAGCAACAGCAGACACATGGTTGGGAGTTCAAAACTGTTCTTGATTTCTCTAGATTTAAAGAACATGCTGTAAAATCTTTACTCAAAACCTTGCTTCCTTGGTCTCCTCCTCTCCTTTGATTCAGGGTTAGAGGGAACTCATACAGAATTGCTTCTGTAAGGAATGATGGGGAATAGCAAGGTGAAGGAGAAGGCCAGTGAGGTGTAGAAAGACTCAAGGCACTGGAATTGTATCTCACACTTCCCCATCAGTCACCACACATGCAAACAGACTGCATACTGCACTGTTGATTTTACCCCTTAAAATTCCAACTCTTTCCAGAACTTGTACCTTAGCTCCTAGAGTGGTCTCAAGTACAATCCCAGAGTCTCATAAAGCACTCTGTGCTGTCAGCTCAGCCTGGTGACATGCCAGATGTGATGCCTTTGCTGTCCCCTACATACACACAGATGCCCAAGTACCCCCTCCCATCTGCATGAGCTATCCTCGAGTCCCACTTTCCCCACTGCTAGTCACAACCCTGAAGTCCCCACCAATTTCCAGCTTCCAGAGCGCATCCCTGCAGGACTGTTGATTGACACCTTCTCCACCAATGAGAACAGCTGTCCCCAGGTCACTGAGGCACATGGCATGGCACCACCGAGGGCTGGGACTGCCTGGGGAGGGAAGAGCACAGGCCTGTGAGCAGTCACACAATACACCTTCAGCTCCCTTCCCTGCTGGAGAGAACAAGCCACCTGAATGCTCAGAGGGGGAAATGGTAAGGCAAGGACCCCTGCTCCCTGCCCTCTGCAGGGGAAAAAGATACCTCCCCAAGGAATATTTTCAGTTGGCTTGGGGGAATAATCGCTGTACTTAGAGAGACCTCAGGAGCAAGGAGTAGCTGGATGTAGGATGCATTCAGGCTGCCACTTCAGACAGGCTTGGATATCCCCCATGTAGTACCCCATCTCCAGAAGTGGATATCCTCGTTGTGTTACCCACCCTGCACTACTCCTCATGAGGGAAGGCTACCCAGGGACAGCTTGTCAGTGCCTAAGAGAGAACAATCAGGAGCCTGGAGCTGCTTCCAGAGGTATCCCTTGTACTGCTCTGTTCCTCCTCCCTTCCCCTCCCAGGCCCCTGCAGTTGGCTAAGCAAGCTAAAAAAAAATACTTTTAAATCAAAGTCTATTTCACATCTTACCTTTTTTCCTCAAAGAGCCATGTACCCAGAGGTATGCCTGAGATTCAGAGGGGCTAAAGAAACATATTTGAGAGCTTGACAGTACTGGAAGCACTGATGGCAAATTGCATGAAGAGGAACAGTATATACACACGACCTACTTGTATTCTTGATGACTGGGGAGATACAGGATGAAGCATGGGAGGCTTCTGATGTTGAAGGGAAGGAATATCATCACCAAGTGACTGATAAGACAAACCAGGGTCTAGGAACCAAATCCTCACCTTGCAACTCCTTCACTGCCAGATCTGCAGAGGGAACACAGAGATGGCCCCATAAAGCAGCCAGCAGACATACTGTGAAAAGTGCTCAGCTCCACTACGTAAGAGCCCTTTGACCTTCCTTCCTCCAACCTCCAGCACAAAGCTACCTCACTGCAACAAACAAGGTGCAAGACCAAGAATCATTAATTAAGTCTCATCAGAAGAAATGCAGAAAATAGGTAAGAGCAAGGCACGCTTCCTCTGACTGCCAAATACTGTCACCATTGCATTTTACCCCTCTGATACAAGTTCATTTTCCCCCTTCTCACACTGCCTGCAGCAGAAAAACTTTATGATGAAACTACATTTGCCTTTATGACAAGCAAGGCAAGTCCCAATAAGTAATTTCTTATGGGAACCACTAAGTTATTGCCAAACTTTTAGACACAAACTTGGTCACACTCTGGAGTTGGCTTGGAATTCCCACTCTAGAAGCCTAAGATTTTGTTTCCAAACCCCTTGTTTCCAAACCCCTTGGCAGTTACCTTCTCACTACTCAAAAGCCACTACAATTACACTAATTACATATATATATATTCCTTTTTGTAGTCTCAATACTGTAATACTAACCAGTGTCTTCTATAGACCAAGTGGTATGCTGTTAGTGGGGTACAAACAGACTAATGCAGAGGTTACAGAACATCACAGTAGGTAACTTTCTTGTGCCTCAATTTACTCTTTTGTAAAGCAAGGTTAACAATATTTGCCTTAATTTATAAAACACTTCTACTTGTATGAAAATATAGGCATTATGTCACAGTAAAAAGTGGTGGCACTAAGATGATATAGTCCATGTTCTATTTCTGGCCTTGTCCCAGCAGGCAAAAACTCATCAAGCAGCTGATCCAGGAATAAAGAGCATTCTCAGTATTTCAAAGCCAAACATACAAACCCATCATGCCTTGGAGGTACACAGAGAAATGGAATGGGAAGGTGCAGCCCAGCAGCATTGACAGATCATTCAGACAAGATCTGTAAAATAAAGTTGGAAGCTATCAGAGTTACCTTCTTCATCAAGATCTCTCTCAGATGCTGTGGGTTCAAATAAAACTTTTCTGGGCTTTTTGGAGAGGAATCTTGGTGGTCCTTGGTCAGGACTCTTCCTCCAGGTCTCACTGGATTCCACCTTCCCAGCTGGTGACTTCAGGGCACAGGGTACCACCATGGTCCTCAGCGATGGCCAGACGTCCCTCTTCACAGGCCTGGAGGCTCTGGCAGCCACCTCTGAGCTCTGACTCTTAACCTGTGACATGAGTCCCAGCCAAATCAGCCCCAAAGAAAGATACCTGAGGCTACTGTGAATTGCATCTTACTGGGCCAGAGATGTGATAACTGTTTTTAGGCTCATCTTGCCATTGAGTTTTAAGGGCCAACATGCCATCAGTGTCAGCTGCCAAACAGCTGCTGAGCGATGCAGCTATCTGCTGCTATGTGCTGTGGTCAGCTTTCAGACTGCTGGCTGCTGGGCACAGCTAAAACATGGAAGGGCAAAAAGGCTGGCTGTGCTAGGAATGAAGGGGCTGGTTGCCCATCCCACCAAGGACTACTACATTCAACATTTAAAAAGGCATTTCAATGGAGACTATATCTCTTCGTACAAGAGAAACTTTGGCTCCAGAACTTGCTTAGCCATATCTCCACCAAAAAAAAAAGGCAGCAAATGTTTCAGCTAGACATAACTGAACGGCTACCGGTGAGGGAGAAGATACTAAGAAAAAAGTGAAATAACAAGGTGACTCCAAAACACACATACCTCAGTAGGATCCTCCAGGTCCTGGCCAAGGGGCCTATTATCTGCTGGGAGCACTGGTGACTGGCTGGTCTCTGGTACAAGGAAGGGATGGACAGGTGTACTGCTGGAGACACCTCGGAGCAGCTGCAGCAGAAACAGCAACAGAACCCTAAGCGTGTTAGCCTCCATCCACAGAAAGGATGAGCAAAAACATGTCTTGCAAGGGACAGAATCTCTGCAATGGAATAAGCTGCCTTTCATCTCCCACACCAACAAAACAAGCAAGGAAAAGAAAAGCCAGGCACTGCCAGATGCTAAATCCAGTGGCTTCAGCTCAAGGTAAAGCAGTTATGTAACTGCCAAAGACTCAGGAGAGAGTGGGACTGGAAGTGAACAGCTGTTGGCTGCCCATCTCCTGTGACACACAAGGTGTTCTGGCAAAACTGTGTTCAGAGGATAGGCCTGGAGCATCATGGAGCTTTCAGGCTCAGCACAGACGTGCATTAACAGATCCATGTTTGTCAGTTCTACCTTGGAGTAGCAGTGAAGGAAAAGGGGCTGAGAATTGACAACATCTGGGACTCTGGACAGGAAAAGAGAAGAGTGTAAATTCTTTTACCTGTCCATTAACAGTCAGAACAAGCCTCACAGGGTTGCCTTTGTCCATCTCTTTCAATGAGGCCATGAAAAGATCTGTTCTCCAGTCATCTTCCCACACCAGAGACCTGCACAAGGGACCACGGCTTTTCAGCCCACAAATGACACTGACCAGGACAAAATTCCTGCTCCCATACTAGATGATAACAGCCCAAAGCCAAAAGAGATCCAACCCTGAAAGCAGCCAAAAGGAACCATCACTAGAGGAAAACACCATGGTGGATGACCAGCAGGCCCACACGGCTCTTGGATAACAGCAGCAGAATCAAGCAGCACCAGAGATCAGAAAGCTTTTCCAGGATGCCCCTCCTGACACCCTGGCAGCTCCGGCGGTAACCTGCGGGTGGGCTCCAGCGTGCCGACCCGCTGTGGCGCGACGCCGGGGGACACCAGCACATCCACTGCGATGCTCGTGTCCGGAGAGTAGCAGCTCCAGTCGCCCAGCCCGAACACCACCAGCTGCTTTGGCAAGGGCAGCGGCAGCCAAGCCTGGAAACCCATCTGGCTGGAATGGCTGCAAAGGGGAGGGGAGAAAAACGAGAGACAGTAATCAAGGAGTAAAACAAAAGGTGAAAAAAAACATGAAAACACTTTTATGCCGGGGAAGGTCGAAAGGAGAGGGCTTGTGTCATTTAAAGATGAAACCATGCAAGGATGCAGGGAAGGAGATAACCGGTGGGAAGGGAGAGCCGCCAGGGGCTGGAGCAGTTCAGCCACGCGGGCAGCGGCATTTCCAGAGGGCCAAGGCACGGCGTGCGGTGCCCCGGCCAGCAGGGGAGCCCAACCCCGACGGGGACCGGCCGCACCTGCCGAGCCGCCGCGGCGGCTCCCGCAGAGCCCACAGCACGTAGAAGGCGAGGCCGCGGCCCCGGCACTCCCGGCCCGGCCCCACAGCTGCGAGGGGCGCCCGGGGCGCGGCCATCCCCGTCAGGGGCGTGCCGGCCGCAGCCCTGCCAAGGCGGGCGGAGCGCGGGACAGCAGGGCCGGCTGCTCGGGCCTTGCGAAGCCCGGACGGGCCTCGCCTTCGTACCGAATGAGGCTCTGTCGAATTGCAGAATTAATTATGGAAAAGACCTCCGAGAACAGCCAATGACCGAACTCCACCATGTGAACTGGACATGGGCACTACACATCCAGTCTTTCCTTAAACACCTCCAAGGGTGGTGACTCCACCTAAACAACGAGCCTAAACAACCCCTGCTCCCTCAGCCACGCCTCAAAGAACTTGTGTTCCAGACATTCACCATTGCTAGAGCCCAAGCCGCATCATGACCCTTTCCAGAGAGGGATAATTTGCTTTCCGATTCCTAAATGATGATATCTGTACACATTTCTTGTAGCCTTCATGAAAAAGAGCAGGTGTGAACCTTGCTTCTCTTACTCTGCAGTCAGGGCTCATATTGAAGGTAGGATGGTGGCAGATACTCCTTAAACAGCAATTACACGTGTGTGTGTGTGTGTGTGTGTGTTACTACAGGGGCTCCAGTCGGTAACTAATACCACCTGTATAACAATGAGTAGCTCTGCTAAGCTTAAAACTGCTGTTGATAATCAAACACTACTAAAAGCAGTGACAGGACTTCAGCAGGCAAAGTACAATATTCTCCCTATCCACCTGAAACAGGGAAGAGCCACTTCCCTGGCAGAGGCAACAAAGCCTGCAGCAAGGCCTTCACAGAGCACCTCATATGGGATTGGTGTTTCTGCTGCAGCCCATGCACAAAAGTTAGAGAAGGGGGAAATGGCAGAGTGGGGTTGGAACTTCCAGAAATGGGAAGAACTAATATGAAATTTTGCATCGCTTTCCTGCATCTCCACTATTTTCCTGAGTTTTCCTTTTGCTTGTATGCCCCAGCCAAGCACAAGGATGTATCACGAGTGCATCATAATGAAGTAGCTGTAGCACTGTTTCTCTTTGGTGGTCTTAAAATGCAATGAAACATCTTTAACTTGGCAGAATCATTTATCCTTTGAATCAGTTTGGTTTATTATTGCTCCTGCCCATCAATTAGTTTATAAAAGTGCTCCAAGAGAATTGAACCTCTGCAGCACTGGTGCTGCCAAACTTAAAATGAGATAGGTGAGAAAAGATGACTCCCACTACAGGCATCATTCCTCATTTTGACCAGAAAGTGCTTCTTTCAGGACATGTAAATAGAGCCTTTGTAGTATAATAAAGCTGAGGGGCAAAGCGGCTGTGAGGAGCTGTAAAGGGCAAACACTTTTCTGTAGACAATTTAACGAGTATCTGGTAACTGAAAAGATGTTTCTAAATCCTCCAGACTGAAAGCTGAAGTAACAAAAGAGCTAGGGGATCTCTGCAAATGGAGGTGACAAGTACCAGTATGAAGAACTGGAGGGTAAAGTATTCAAACTGTACCTATGTCCATCATACGAGCTTGGCTACTTGCTTGTTCCTCTCCAATTCCTCACATTCAGTACAATCTCAAGAAAAATATTTCAGGAAGTCATTTTAAAAGACAAAAGATTTCCTGGCCTGAACCATCATCAGGAGGTGACAACAGAGCATTTTCCTCTCCATTTGCATCAGAATCTCCTGTACACTGCAAAATATATTTTGTGTATTTGCTTCTTCTTTGCTCCTAAAATTAACAGTATTCTTGTTTTGTTGGAAGGTCTGTAGTTGAATTTTTCATATCAAGATATTCACTTGCCTTAAACAGAAGACAGAGTTCTTGGTTGCATAGTGAAAAGTTTATTTAAAGGGAGTAAGTTCCAATATATTATTACAAATCAACCACAACACATCAAATATAAACAATACAAACCAATTGTAAAAGGAATGCAAGCACAATATAAATATAGCCTTCATATGTGCCTTTCAGAAAGAGTCCAGTGACACATTTTGTTAAAATATCCTCTTCTCTATTTAAAACTCATCTCTTGGCAAGCACATGGAAAGCAAACAGGTGGTGCTGAGAACTCAATTTTGAAATTACAGGACATCAAAAATATTCACATCACAGAGGTAAGGACTGACAAACAACCATCACAGTTCACAAGAACATCAGTCTGAAAAAGTTATGACAAGCTACAAGGTGCTTCCCATTGAAAGCCTATGCTAATGGCTTGGAGCTGTGAGTGGAAAGCAGCCTGCTTCCCTCTGAGGAGAGCTGTCCCCAGGGCATCTTGGAGGTTGCAGGGAAGCCATCTCCAGCTATTTATCATTTCCAAACATGGCTCCTAAATGTCAAGGTCATTATTTGGCAAGGTGTCCTTAGCTCTGAATTTTGTGGCTGGCATCCTGCTTCTTGCCCAAGGGATTTGACTCACCAGTCGAGATGGGTTTAAAACAGATAACCCTCAGCTGGATCAGAAAATTCTTCCTCTCTCCCTTCCCAATAAAGGGATTATTCTGAGAAAGCAACATGTAAAATCCAGAATGGAACCCAGAAAAGCCAAGGGAACTCAGATCCACCACCCACCTGGCCTGATGCACCTTCAGCTGCAACAGCACCACAGTTCAGAATAAGTAGCCAGAAACTCTCTCCAGGCAAATGTGGACTATCCCCCCAGAACACTCGCCTCCTTGTAATATACATCTGAAGTCTGCTGTTTTATGTACCTTTTAAAACTTTATTTAGTTGGTATTTACTGCAAATCAACTTATTTAGATAAATGCCTTAGCACTTTGACTCCTGCTAAACTCCTGTCTTCTTTCACAGTCTAATTAGCAATGTATTTAACACAATCAGTTCCCAGTTTTTCATTCTGCCAGTTGTGAGGTTCTCATTCATCTACATGATATTGTCACATCCAATATTTTCCCAGATATGAGAAAAGGAGAAATGTTTTTTTCTTTTACACTTCTAGATATTAAAAAAACCCTAAACAAAAAAAAACTTGTTACTTTGGTCTCTCATCCACACTCAATATACATAAGCACACACCACTCACAACTCTGGATTTCAACACCCTTTTTAGAGGAAATTATGAACGGCCATAAAAAACACTCTTTTATGTCTATCTAGTGTTCCTCTGGTCCTTGGGTTTAGTGTCAGCATATCAAAAGGAGCAGTTCTTTGTTGTTCCTAGACATCTGACAGCAGCATATGAAGGCAAAGAATGTATGGCACCAGGAAATTCAAATACCATTGTATTACTCATCTTACAGCAACCAGGTGGTCTATGAACAGATTAGATCTCCAGGAACAGCCTAGAGGGGCTCTCCCTGCCTAACCTTAGCAAGTACCACCCCCTACCCAAATGGGCAGAGAAATTTAAAAAAATCTCTTGTATTAATGACACCTATGGTTCTCATTTCAGACATGCTGTTTGTTCCTAAGGCACCTTGTGATAAATCCTCTGTAGAGTGGCTTTAATAGGGGTAGTTAGACAAGAGGAAAGAATATAAGCAGTGGGAATGAAAGTGAGCTCATTCAGGGATTCATTCTCTCCCCTAATTCCATACAAGAACAACAAAATCTTTCAGCAGCTAGACCAGTAATAAGGTTTACCTCAAATTCACCTCACCAGGTCCAGCCACAATAACTGACCCAGTGCAGACCACAGCTGGAGGTTACATGCACACACAGGTACAAGGAGATAAGCTGTCAGGGCAGAGCCACAAAGAAAGGCATGTGGCTGCCTTCTAGACTCAGTGCATAGTAACTTGACTTCCCTAGCACCTGAAGTCAGGGAACTAAGCTCTTCCTCTTAACACATTTTCATCTTACTTGTTTGTGCATATTAAATGGGTCCCAAGCAGTAATTTGCTGCAAGCCTGTGTCTGACACCAGAAACCTTTCCTGAGAACATGTATTACAGGCCTCCAAAGGGTCTGAGTAAATGTAAGCAGTACCAGTAGTGGTCCTTGATTTAAGCAATTTTAATTCTCTGTTCTCAATAAAACACATACATTTTGAACTCCTACTGCTACATTACACCTAAAGCAAAAAAGAGGAAACAATGGAGAGCTTATTACCTTCTCTGGCATAAAAAAGTCCAACATATTAGTACCATTATTATAACTAAATACTTCTCCAAAGTAATTTTTACACAAGTCCTTTGCTACAGGATATATCTCTGACTGAACATGTAAATTTTATTTAGATCTAAATTATATTCAAAACAAAACAGAAAACAATTCTGGGCTTTCACAAAAGCAATCCCAAAATGCAAAAGAAACTTCTTCCTTGATTTAGCTTTATGAATTTCTAAAGACAATTTAGAGGGAAAGGAAACATATATTAAAAATCTACTTGAAGTCTTCCTTCCACAGAAACATAAAATTTTGCTTTCCTGAGGATTAATTTCCCTCTCTGAAGTGCAACTGCATTTAAACTTTATTTTTATTTCTTGACCCAAGGTCTAATTCCAAAGATCTCTATTTAAATAAGAAGGGTTTCCATAATTGCCTAAGCCAGCTAGCAAGATTCAATACAAATTCAGGAAATATACCAAACTGAAAAAATTAGATTTTTCTAATTTTCATGCAAAATAAGATTATTTCTTTGAAACAACTATGGGTTTGATATTGAACAGGAATGGCTGCTGTTAATCACTAGCCACACAGCAAAGCTTTGGATTTATCAGAAAATTATAAAAACTGTGTATCCTTCCAAAAAGAAGTTGTCACTTTGATAACGAATGCTAGTTGAATACCTGAGAAACAACAGACTTGTATAATATGGAAATATAAGAAAATAAACAAAAAGAGGAATTATCCTGTATAACTATGAAGCTTTCCTGAAGATTAAATATTCCTAAAACTATCTTGTGTTCATAAAAGATACCAGATACTTCTGGGAAACTTAAGCAGTGAAACAACACACACCAAATACTTTGAGTTCCACTGCAGCAGGCCTGTCTGTGAGCAGGCTGCATTTGCAGGCTGGGCACATACTCATTGGGATGACATTCTACATTCTATGCTGATTTTGGGCTTAAGTCAATGAGACC